AATTATTTCGTTACTTTTTAGTGTACTGTTTTTTTTTGAGAATATTTTGTTTTTGGTGTATTTTGTTTTGTTTTTAGTGCATTTTGTTTTTGAGCTATAGACTTTAAAAGACCATTGTAACTTTTCATATTAAAGTGATTACTGATTTTCAATTGATTTATTACATACTAGCTTTTGCCCGCGAAACCGTCTGCGTGTAATTAAATCACTAAGTGGCTTTTTCTACATCTATGTTATTTCGAAATCCGTTGATACCTTCTAACAAATATATATCCATATAAAATCTAACATTTCGCATTTATCTATACTATTATAATTAAGCGATAACACACACTTCTTTGTTGCCTAAGATGTCAGCAATTACAGCATGTTTTTGAATAATTCTTTTTTTAATAAAAAGCCCTACACTTACGTCATGCTTTAGGCTATATATTTTCACGCCATTATACATAGGGGTTAATATTTTGGTTAAAACCCTAATGTGGGAAAGAGACTATAAGTTGCTGCCAACATCAAGAAAGCCAAATTGCCATAGTAAGGTAATTGATATTTTGACATTTGCAATTGATTAATTGACACATGTGAACAATAAAATATTTATAATTTTTATAATTTTATGCGGATGAAGCCGCAGGGGAACAGCTAGTAACATCATATTAATCAAGAAATACCTACTTATTTGTGAGAAATTTACACTAGCAGATTGGGGGAGAGAACAAAAATGATATCGAGTAACTTCGGCTGTCCCATTTGTGTTAAGCTATAAAAACAAGCTCAAAGCTTGTTTTTTTTATTATCATTTGTTTTCTTACTAACTTAAAAGACTTGTATGCAATAAAATAATATACTAATATTATGTGTCGTTCTTCTAGACTGTGTATTGTGTTTACATTGGAATCGAATCACCGACCTCGCGCTTACCTTCACCTCAATGCTACTAGTTTCTTGAAAACTTTGAGTAAACGTCAAGCTTTTTAACTTTCAAACGTTATCAATCATGACCAGAATCCAAGATACGTTTAACCATTCGTTAGTGTATTTGGTTCGATTAATTCGTGAAATGAGTTCCGAACTACGTAACTTGTGTTTTACTCCATTGAAATTTCGTTTAACCTAATACTAATGATTATCAAAGTAATTTATCTATACTTCTATACTATCTATCTGTACTATTACAATAAAGTGTAAACACACACTTCTTTGTTACCTAAGATGTCAGCAATTACAGCATATTTTTAAATAATTCTTTTTTTAATAAAAAGCTGTACACTTACGTCACGCTTTAGGCTATATATTTTCACGCTATTAAACTTAGGGGGTAAATATTTTGGATAAAAACTTAATGTGGGTAAGAGACCATAAGTTGCTGCCAACATCAAGGAAGCAAGGTTGTCAACATATATTGATAATTTGACAAACGTTAACAATAAAATTAAATTTTCATAATTTCATGCGGACGAAGCCGCAGGAACAGCTAGTGATAAAATAAATGGAAGCCAAGAACCCAGCATAAGTGGTTTTACAAAGATAAAGTTGGTTCCCAAAGTAATCGAGGCAGAGACCTTACTGACGAGAACGGGTGAGGTGTACCGTGTATTGTTCACAAGAAAACATATGAGTGCAATGGTTCAAAAAGACCTGTAATATTTTGCTAATAGTATAATGATAAAAGTATAGTAATTACTATGAAGGAACGATATTCGTTTTTTTACTAATTAATGTAGGTTATGTTATTTCCATATATTTTCAATATAACGCTTTCACTTTTTATTTATTGGAATACGAATAATTAGTAATAGATAAGTTTATTTACTTTTTAATTATTCGTAAAACTGTTGATAGACATTTTTTATGTTGAAATTATTATGCTTGTAACCCAGAAAAGTAGGCGAGGCGATAAATATTGTAATTGCTATCCTTACACATATGGATTAAGGCTCTACCATTGTTTTAATCTGTATTAAAAGTTGTCTGTGGAAGAAATCTTAACTACATTTCTGAAACATAATGATTGCTTTTAGAGACGGATTTAAAAGTATAGATGTTTAATGTGACATTTTAATCATATTAATGTATTGTTTACGTCATTTCTAGGAGTGTCATAGGTTTTTAAACCGTGTACAAAAGGACTCGAACTTTCTTCCGTATTATCTCAGGTGCTTAAGTATTGCAATAAATATTTTAAACCTTACGTTCAATATAAAGTTATGTATGAACATTAATTCGTAATAAAACAGCCAGGGAAAATATAACCGACGAAACGTCTATGTTTTAATTACAATGGATAACTACTTTAATTATATGAATCACGTAGAATGTACGTATATGAAATTACGTTTATACAGGATGATCGCAAAAACTTGATCGAGCATGATCTGGGCCGGCGTGGATAAGGCCCCAGTCATCCCTAACTTAGGGTATCTCTGAACCTCTATGTCTTGTTAAAACCATAGAAAGGATGTTTTCCACTTGAAGACCTTTTCAAAACTTATTTAATAAAATTCATAACATAATATCGCTTGTTGTAGTTTTCTAACAAATGTGTAACAACCGATGTAGGATAATTGCTTTTAAACGCTTATATCGGAATATTTGTAACCTGTTTCTTGTTCGTTTTTATAAGCAAACGTTAAAGTAATTACATAGAAAACATTGTTGAATATCTTGATGCCAGCACTAAAGTTAACTTTATACGGAAAACTTTTTATCAACTGACAATGACAGAAATCAGTTTTTACCCGTTGTCATTCAGTGGTTGTTCTTTTGGGTTATAGGGCCAAGGGTAAGTGGAGGTTCTTACCTGGTGTGTGTCTGTCAGTGAGAAAGGGTGCGGAGGGGCGGGGGCTGCGCACTCATACTCGCGCGGTCGACGACCTGGCGGCACCGGTTAACTGTACCACAAACACTGACACTGGGACTTTGACCAACGAACGTGCGCTCGCGATGGTAGTTCGGGACGTACTGAGGCGCGGCGCCCGCGGCCTTGACCGCCCCCGCACCCCCGCGGCTCCAGTATACACTCCCGCGTCGAAAACGCAACAGCAAAAACAGACCCATGCGCAGGCGCATGCAACTTGCGTATGCGTCGAAAGCTCTTTTCATTGTGCAAGTTCGAGCTTAAATATATTGAAAACTTTCTTATTGTATTGTTATATGAGATATGTTGTCTTTGTATACAAAAACAGCCATATAGAAGTATCATCTTTACTAATATTATAAAGAGGAAAGATTTGGATTGTTGGATTTTTGTATGTAATGTAATAACTCAAAAACTGTTACAAAAAATCTTTCACCATTGAAAAACTACGGTATCACTGAGTAACATAGGCTATGATTTTTATTATTTTAAATTTCATGCGGACGAAGTAGCGAACAGCAGCTAGTATCGTAATAATTTAAGGAAAATATAAGGAAACGTAGGTTAAACAAATATAAGTTCATTGATATAGGAATGGTCATTACTTTTAGCTTTTTAGAACGACTCGTCTACAGATAGAGAAGTAAAAAGTAACAAAGGAAATTTAAAAGCTCAATTTTCGCTAGTAAAATAGGCGGAAACAAATCTTAAATTAAAGGTAACAAGTTTCTTTGACACTTTCAATACAACCGGTAAGTAAAAGATAAAATTAATAACCGGTTCCCGCAAGGAAATATATTCCTGTACTTATAAATATAAAACAACGTAAAAGCTAAGTCCTAAACATTGTACACTGCAAAACTTTCAAAGCTCATTGTAAGATGCAGTGAGTCACAGATGAGCTGGCATTTCGCAGAATCCTAAAGCTGTATCTAAACGACCCCATCTTTGAACTCGAAATACCGCAGGAAGTTATAACCTAATCAGAGGTTCTCAAACATTGGGTCGCGTCTACATTTATTTACAGTAAACAAAAAGTGAGAAAACGAGTGAGTTATTTACTCTATATAATAGCGAAGAGATCGTGGACCACAAAATGCAATAAATTTAAAATGCTGAAAAATTACAAATTTCATTCCATTTCATCATTAAAGTTACGGGAGAAAGTAAGAAGTTTAGTATTAGAATAGGTCCTACAGCACTACATATACCGGATTCTATATACAGGCAATCTTACTAATCTTACTATTCTTACTAATATTATAAATGCGAAAGTTTAGATGGATAGATGGATGGATGGATGGAAGGATGGATGTTTGTTAGCGTTTGTAGCCTAAACGGCTGAGCGGATCTCCATGAAATTCGGCACAGGTTTAGAGCATAGTCTGGAAGAACACATAGGCTACTTTTTATCCCGGGAATGGTTACGGTTCCCGTGGGGTTCATTAATTTAGTTTTTTAATGTTTACTCGATCATTCTGCAACGGTTTAACATATCTTATTGAAATTTGGCACAGATATAAAACAAAGCCTGGAGTACACATGGGATAAGCTTCATCCCCGAGAAATGTCCGGTTCCCGAGGGATACGTAGCTTTTTATAATTTATATAGTTCGTATGTTTTCTGATACCACGCAGACGAAGTCTCGGGCAACAGCTCGTAAGATATAAATTATAGAAAATTTAATATTTCAAACAGATTGTAATTTAGGTAAGTTTGGGAACCACTGATCATTTGCAATAAACCGTCGCTTTCCGAGTAATTTGTGCCGTAGTAAATCTATGCAGAAAATACAAGCATTGTGGAACATATGAGACCATTTCTGTGAATATAGAAGTAACATGACTAGTAAAATATTTATGTGTTTATTAGTAAGTCGAGTTTACGTTTATTTATGAGGATGTCTTCAAGAGAAGTGTATAATCTAGTCTTTACTAACACTAACACCTTAGTTATTAGCAAAAATAAAATTAGGTGATAGGATAGATATGAAATCTGAGAGCGTCGGTGGCTCAGTGGTTTGAACACTTGACTTGTAATCTACAGGTCTTGGGTTCGAATCCCGCCGCCGTGTACCAATGAGATTTTCGATTTTTCGAATGTGTATAATATACCCGACGTTCTTACGGTGAAGGAAAACATCGTGATGCAACCTGCACATATCGGCGAAGAAATTCAAAGATATGTGTGAAGTCAACCAACCCGCACTTGGCCAGCGTGGTTGACTATGGCCCAGTCACCCCTTATTAGGGTAGGCTCCGAGCCCCTCGGTGGGGACGTATAGTGAGCTGATGATGATGATGATGATAGATATGAAATCACTTGTTTTTAGCCTGCGATTGTGATAATAATAAAATATAAGTTCTAACACGACGTTATAGCGACGACGAAGACGTTGGACGTTAGTTATCAATGTGGAGGGGTACACCGGTAGAGGTAGACCTAGAAAGAGATGGATGGATTGCGTGAAAGGTGACATGATCAAAAAGGGAGTGATGACTGAGATGACGGATATTTGGAGGACGAAAACCTAACGCGCCGATATACAGGAGTAGGATAAGGCAGGGGAGATGATGGTAAATTGTAACACGGCTAAACTTACCTGACAACATTCGGTGTTGGCACCGACAGTTTCGAACCTGTAGGGGCTCCTTCTTCAGGGTTAGTGATTAATCGGGTATACTCGCTATCGCGTCGCGACGGTCACTGCGTGCCCTAGCCCGAATCGCGCGTTTCGAAAGGGCGGTATATAAGTATACAAGTTAACTAATTGTAAAAGTTTATAAACCAGTAAAAAATTTTAACAATTCTCGCAAAAAAGACTAACTACATTAATTATGAAACCATTGTAATTGTTTTTAATTTACGTTTAAAATATTTCCATAAACACGTGAAACGTTTACTTAAATACATTCTCTCTCTGTGTCTCAATTCACACAGGATTCAACATTTCCTAAACAAACTACGATTCTTTATATAGCGTACTAAGCTCTGTTAACAATAGCAAGCTTAAAGCTTTAAAAATAAACGAAACACCAACGGAGTGTTTGTTTGTGATAAAACTTTCTTCACTTAAACAAGTGTAAGCGAATAAGATTAAGCAATATAAACGTTAGTTCACAGTGCCGTAAGAACTGTTTAAAAACGTTCATCCCTACTTTTTGAAGAGTGATATCTTATATACTCGTTACAAAAGGGTGTCTTACACATATGTAAGTTTTTTATGTAATGTTTCTGCTCACTTTGGGATTTTTAGAACGGTCACACATCTTTGAATAAACTATCACAAATGTTGTGCGATTGTCGCTTGTTTCTAAGCCAATTCAACTGTTTAGTTGCACAACTAAAAGTCGAGTAGTGTACGCACCTCCATATAAGGTCATAGGTATCAAAACGCAACTAAACAGTTGTACAATAGTTTAGTAAAATTGGTACAAAAACAATTACTATCATTCACATTCCACTTAAAAAACAAAGATAACCTGTATGTTTTGTTTCAGTTTTAGTATTTAATTAACAGATGTACAAATGACAAATTAAAATGTAACATTAGTAAATTGGCCGGCCGCCATCTTTAGTACTCCAGACGAATTTGAAAGATTGGCTTTAAAAAAATATAAACAAGTAACGTTTGCCAAATCTAATATTAGATTCAATTCAAAGATTTCGCAGTCGAGTGGGATGAATTATTTTAAAGAAAATTTGAAATGTTACTGGCCAAGCTTCTTATAAAAAAGAGAAAAGATAATGTACAGGAAAGTAGGAAGTGAGAGGGGATGGTTCTCCTCGCTAAACATATTACAGCCATAACAGCCAGTTTTAGGAACATAGTAAGCATACTGTCAAGGATACAAATCCACAATGTACAAAAAGTATTGGTAGTTAGTTGATTATTAAGTTTAGTAGGGACTTTATGTCATCTACTCTGCTCTTGTAATATTCCCTAGAATAATAAACTTATGTGCACTTCGTCATGTATTTTCGTCGTGTTCAAAAGCTGAAACGTGCTTAAGTGCTGGTTTTGGTCCGGACTATAACTAAAGCTCCGGGGAAGGTCAATTTGTTCACATTCATAGTTAGTTTGCGTGATTGTAGCTTACTTCAATTTTGTAAATGATTTTGAATGTGGTTTTTTCGTTTTATTTCTTAGTAGTCATCTTTTAGTTATATGTTTGTTTTTTCACGTTCATTTTTTTTTATTTACCGAGGAAATAAAAGTAACATCAATTTTAGATTTATTATCTGGTAGATTTTAATAGATTGTATACTACTCAGTAATAATTTCATTCATTATAACCCACAATCTTACGAAATAAGAAAAAAATGTTTCGTACACGTTAACAAAGAGACAATCAAAACTGAGAGAACAAACAGTCGTCAAAATTAACGGTAACATGTGAAATATCGTTGGTGCTTTGCTGTCAAAATATTTTGTCATACACATGCGCCCGCGCAGATCTTTTGGATATTCTAGGGATGTAGACCGCAAATCGATTAATCGAATAAAGGATTAATTATTGTAATCGATTTCTAAACTGATGCACAAACAAAACTTGCAATGTGTGTTTAAATTCTTTTTTATTTATAAAAAAACATATTTTCCGCTTTGTTTATTCGCTTTATTTTATACCATTCCTGTGATTTCAAATTATAGTGAAATAATTGTTTTTTTTATTTGTTCTTTAAACTGAATCATTACCAATATCGATCCGTATAAATAAATCGCTAAGCGTCCTGCGCTCGCGCAGATCGTCTCGCGTGTCATACACAGGGGAATGGAAATAGAGACAGGGGAGGGGATGTGACCCACTTCCCCGGCTAATTGTGGGCAAGCTCGTTACGGAACCGAGACCGTCCATCGTGACGCCTAACGATTGATATAACGGTATTTGGCGGCGGACCAGACATATATTTATAGTAAATAAAACCTCTTTTGATTGATGAAGTTGTTTGAAAAGTAAAACAAGATAGTTTGAATAAGTTTATAGGCGTAATAAAAATATTTCAATCTATATAACTCTATGGTAGAGATTATCTTTACTTAACTGTTTCTTAGGCTTTAATTTTTAATGATCCAAGTGCAAGAAGATGGTGAATTTAAGAGCACACTAAGTATGTTTCATAAGTGTGACTGTAAGACCTTTTTTTAACTGAAT